CATACTTTTCGGTATCCTCGTAATAACCTCATAATAAATAATGTAGAAATTACAAATTCTTTCGTTTATCAAAACGCATCCACATGCAATAATAACAGAATGGCCATAATGTATGAATAATCAAACTATCCGACACGAGATACTTGAGACTGCGCGCAATTACTGCAATTCTCAACGATAATGAATAAATGGACGGGAAACTGATTTCACAACAGTGATTAATGAAGCGCTATCGCTGAGTAGTTGAGTTAATTTAATGCAATTATTCGCATTCTCTGGCGAATAATATTGTATTTGCAAAATATCAAGTATAGCGGACTTTGACATACGAAACACGTTTTACGTCATTGTGATATGTAATCACAGCATTTTGGTTTCAATGATCGATGATTGATATTAGACACGTGTTTGCACACGACGTGGAAAGGACAATTCATCATTAACATTCGATATTCCCTGAAAGTTCTGCAGTCGTGTTGTACAGTATTGTGCTTAAAATATGCCTTTTAACTGGAGCCGAATAGGTAGCATTTATCCTGAAGAAATTAACAAAGAAACACCTATAGAATAGGACTACGAACACAGTGCTTGTTGTTGCGGCGAGATACAAACCATGTGTATGTTTGTTAATTAAGTTTAATTGTCTAATTAGACATTATGATGTTTACAGTATTATTTCACATTCGCTGTATTATTTATATCCAGTTATAATACTTTGATGTGTAGTATTTCTATAGTTATTAGAGTTGATACGTTTTTATCACAGCTAATTGTCTATTTCATATAGTTAATCTATTATTACGATCACTGATAGGATCTCCGATTGACCTATCACATATTAAGGTCACAGGTCACGCGTAACAATGAAACGCGTGGCCCGTCATTTTAGCCACTGTTGTATTTACCAGTGTTCCGTGATCTACAGTTGAATAAACGTCAGTTTGATGTTTACTCGTGAACTGAAACTTTCTGACTACGTTACTGTTCCGGATACAGTTGCTATACCCACAAACCAATTTCTCACAACCAGAAGGGATGAATGTATATAACAAGGACTACTGTTTTAATGATAACCAAAGCTTTTAAGTTGTGACAAAATTGCTGACCGTAAACCTTTATTACAAACTTCGTAACACCATTATGGATATGTTATATATGAATAATTTGCCAGCTGTGTAATATTTTACGGAAAAAATGCATTTCTTTGATACATTTATGCGCATTTTTATGCAGGGACTCGTCACACTAAATCCGCCATATATTTGGACGTGTTCAGTACACAATTCACATTTCAAACTAGAGATCACCCATTGAATATCTAGAATGCAGGCAAGGGGTAGTTTTGTTGATATCAAATAATTTTAGGTACATGCGGAGTTTCTGGATTGCACAGTTTCAACTGCAGTGCTGCAATGATCTCCCACACACGTGTGATGCTCACCATTCAGATACAACAGCCAGGGATGTAATCGATCGGCATTCATTCGTATCAACTCCTTGGACACTGGAGCAGACATGTTTGCTCAGTCGACCGTAATTGGCATATTCTATAAATATTTTCGATCTTTCACGGTACATCTCACAGCTGATGTCCTGTCCACCGTCGCGTTCACACTCCACGGTTGGCAGAGTATGGGGTTCTGAAAATAAGACGCGATGTTCGAGTTGATTAGAAAGTGCACTGTCATATTCTCCATACTTCACACTCATTTTCTCGTGACGTTATGTTTCTCCCTGAATTCACTTCTTGGTTATATGACTTGGAGTCAATGAACTATATTTATATTGATCACATTGGGTTGAACATATATTGTAGTATGTATCACAGTCATGTGGTATTTTGTATCGGGTTGTATGATCTTCAAATATCGATTCGGAATAACAAATTCAGAATTTGAATTTTCAAAGTTAGATTCTAATTTCACACCACGCATAATAATTCTTACCACGGCATTCGTACACCACTTGCACATACTTAGAGGCACGTGGACACACGTCCACTTGGTATCCCATCACTGGCCGGGAAACCATAATGGCGCATTCTTGTCGCCCTTCGCAATGAACACCGAGGGCATACTTGGCGCGACTGCTGTTGAATTTACAGTCGTATACATTGATATCCAGATCGGTACTTGGACAGCCGGCGTGGCCTGGCATCCAACGCCCATACTGCGCGGATATGACGTGGATTTGTTTGGTGGACAGTGCGGCGTCTCCCGTGACATCCGATGAGCACTGTAGCGTCATCAGATCATTGTCACATGCATTCAGTGTAAAAGATATGGCGTCTATTACGTACATAGCAAAGAAGAGAAGAGAACAAAAAGTGTTATATAGATCCAGGAAATTAAAGATATAAAAATGATAAAAAAATAATTAAATAAAATCGATATAATCTGCAATTTCATTAGGAAATTTATATATAGATACGTTACGTTACGTTACATGAAGTAACTGATAGAACATAATACAATCTTAATGCCAATTTTTTATTTCATTACATGCACACGAACAACATAAAAAGAAGTATTTTATATGAGCATTTTTGATAGATGATATCTTTAACGAGATTAAGAAAAATAAGTACTTGATAGCACAACAATCGTTAATCCGCGGGGACCCATGATTCTTTTTTGTCAGAGTGTATTAACAACAAAAGCAGCAACAATCAATAATGATCTACGTACCTGGTTGTCGGTTTTCACAGTGATAGCCACCGAATCCAGGGGGACACAAACATTCGTATGTTCTTTCTGTTGCAAGCAAGAGTAACGGAAAATTTAAAACACAGTTATCAGTTTAAGCAAGTCCAATTAGGTGGTTTAAGACGGTTCATCACATTTTTATTATTATAATGAAAAAAAAAGAAGTCGCAGGAAAATGTTTCGAGATACAAGAGTCCAAAATGTCACGAAAATTTGTCAAAATCTTGCATGAATGAACCCTGATATTGTGAAACATTTTTAGAAAAATACATATGATTTAGTGAGTTATTAATTTATATTGTATACATTTGGAGGTGATTTTCCATAATGCGTTCCCATAACGCTTGTGATATTCCATCACATGCACAATAGTGGAAAAAATAATTGCTTTAAATAACGACATTTGGTAAAAACCGCTGCATTTCAAGATGAATGACACATTACAAGCCATCTAGACCTAGATGCCGTCTATCTTCGCGAAACTTTTCAGCAATCTACGAATAATAGTGAATCGGTCTGCAATGTTTTGAGCGGGCTTTACCTACAGGCCAGTCTGCGGTTGCGCATGGTAAT